ATTATCTGTAATATATATATATATATATATATATATATATATATATATATATATATATATATATATATATATATATAATCAATTCATCCCAAGGAACCGGAAACACAGTTTTAAATAGGAAATAAAAAACAAACATCTATTCATATTCAAATGAGCGGGAGGGGTATGAATCGGGCGATAGGCGGACCTATCTATTTTTATTTTCTAAGGAAAATATAGAAAACATCATTTCAGAATTTTTGCGGGGTCTTTGTAGATGCTTTGAAAAATTACCAGACTAAATACATTGATTTTTTTTTTTTTGAATTCGAAAATCACTTCTCTTCAATTATCTGGGCGATTAGTGAATCTTCTTCAAATTATAAATCTTTAGCTATTATAAATCTCCGGCCATCTTCAGATAATTGTAAACGGAAGTTACCATATACTTCTCGATAGCATTTCTAGTTGATTTGCGCCTCACTGGGTGCTTTACTATTGTGAGTTTTTGAGAGATAATTTTCAGTAGGTACCTAATTACATCAGATAATATCCGGAAACATCTCCCATGAGGCCGATAGCTGGCAGGCAATCCAAGCAAGTCAGTTAATACGAGCTTAAAAGGTTAAGTTAAAAAATTTGGCGCCACTCCAGACGAGCTGGAGTACGTATTGAGAATAAATAAGAAAAATAAAGAAAGAATATAAGCACAAGTCGAGAAAGAAAATAATAATTTCTGACATGATGAGAAAAATGTTTAGTTCTTTCTTTTGTTCTTATATAATATCATTAATCATAAGTTAAATTTTCGTTGCTTTTTTATTTTTTGTTTTTTTTCTTCCAAAGAAAATACCATCTTTTCAAAGCGTGTCAGCTTCATTTGTAAAAACAATTTCTTTGCCAAGCATCTGAGACGGCAGATTCCAATTTTGACTCAACTAAGCAGTGAAGCCTTGAAACAAATCTGCAGAAATTGACTAACAAAAATTAGATTTCTCCTTTTTTTATTTATTTACATTTTTAGTTTTGTTAATTTTCCCATCAGAGTTTTTATGCCTTCTTGTTAACCTATTTGAGACAGATTTTCTTCATATACACTGATGACATTAAAAAGAAAGCAATCGTGTAAGCCAAAAAAAACACACACACGAGATATATGTGTGTCCCTGTATTCACTATTTGTATGCATACGCATTGAAAATCGCCAAAATATATTGCTTCTAGACATACAATTAAGCAAACATTATTGACAGAGGGAAAAAATAAAACACTATAACATTTCAACAATCTGCCACACATATACATATACATACATATGCGAAGATAGGAACAAATTGAAAACGCTTATAAAATTAACATATTTCGTTCTTATTAGAACTTCACCAGAAAACTGAATATGAATGACAAAAGAAAATGATTGTATTTTTATTTGGTGTTATCCTATCCTTCTGTCTCTACACACACACACACACACACACAGGGAGAGAGAGAGAAAGACACACACATACGCACGTGTGTGTCTGTGTGTGTGTGTATTGTTTATAAAAAGAAGAGAGCAGTTTCAAAACCTGCCGGAGAATACATTCTATACGTAATAAACACTGTTTAAAATATAAATAAAAATGTAGCGACCATTTCAAATACCTGTGTCCATTATAATAACATTTGAAGTAATAAAAATGCCACGTTACAATATATCTAAAGGTGTGTGGGGGTGGCGTGTGTATGTGTGTTAAATATTTATGTATATATATATATATATATATATATATATATATATATATGCGCTCAATATCAGTGATAGAGCTAACATATTTATTTGGATTACTAAATATACATACATACGAATATATATATATATATATATATATATATATATATATATATATATATATATATATATATATATATATAATGATAATATCACTACCTATGCATATATCAAAATTACATAATTCAAGATATATCAAGGCAAACAGAATAAGAAAACACAAAATATATAATAATAGTACAAATTATAGATTACGTTTAGAAGAAAAATTACAAATAATTTGCTTCAAAACCAAAATAAATTAGGAAATAAAAAGAAATAAAATTTTAAAAATCCAATTTTGGAAAAAAAAACATTTCTGAACCATCTTCTTTTAACTGCAAAATTATTATGCATATATTAATGTCTCGGGATGGCATATCTAATTTCAGTGCAAGCTTGGTTTGTCCAAATATTTTATGTCATATATATATATATATATATATATATATATATATATAGAGAGAGAGAGAGAGAGAGAGACGGACAGACAGACAGATGCATTAATATATATTTGTAAAAGATAGATAGATAGATAGATAGATAGATAGATAGATAGATAGATAGGCTATAGAGAATATTATAATAAGCATTAAAATATGATGAAATTTGACTAATCCAATAATTGTGTTAAAAACTAAATATAATTTGATAATGAATTTCACGTTCTAATATATTTCTGGAATTTAT